TTGATCCATTGACATGCTCTCGGGAGCCCCTTTCGGGCCCGGGGGCCTCGGGCCAAGTGTAATCGTGTTTGCTTCGGAGAGAGAGAGAGAGAGAGAGAGAGGGGGGGGGGCAAAGAGCGACAGGGCGCATCGCGACGCTCTCTCACTCCCTGCCCCCCCCACCCCCGTCTCTCTCCTCTCGCTCTCTGAGACCAGCCTAGCCTGGCTGGCGCCGGGCTCTCCGCGTTGATTGATTCAAATAGCCCAACGGTGGTGCTCTTCCAATGCAGTCTTTCCTCGGCCGGCACTTTATGAATGCGTAGCAGCAGCAACAACACTGTCAAATTATAAAGGCGCACCACACCAAGGGTACATAAATGTATGTCTTTGATGCCGTGAATGCGAGTGGCTTATTTTTAGCAGTGTAATAGGGTACAGAGGGGCACACACAGCATCTCCACCTTGAGATGTCATGCGTTACGAGCGGCCGCCGGTGGTGGGTCCATCGCTTGTTCACGTAACCGCGCAAGCCTGGCCGGGGAGATGCGTGGTTCTGTCCCACTCTTCATCCTCGACGACACACACACACACACACACACACGCACACGCACTTGATGCACCACCGTGCGCCACCGTGCTCGCCAGTGCGCGCGTCAGTGGGAGAGAAGTGTGAATAGGGGGGAAAAGGAGATATAACGAATGATGTCCACCTCTGCCAATAAGTTGTCGCATGATCAGCTGCTGGGCGACTCCTCGGCTGTGCTCAAGGAGAGGGGAGGGGGTTAGTAGGATGTGTGTTGGTGAGTTGAGAGGTAGAGGGGAGCGAGAGAGACAGAGAGAGAGAGAGAGGGAGAGAAGAGAGAGAGAGAGAGAGAGAGAGAGAGAGAGAGAGAGAGAAAGAGGAGGGGGGAGTAAGGAGGCGCTTGCTTGTTTGACTACGCCCGTTCCCACGCTCTGGCTGTGCGACCTGCCGCGGTTCGCGAGCGCCGCAGACGTCCCCGCTCCTCTCTCTCTCTCCCCCTCCCCCCCCTCCCTCTCCTCCTCTCTCTCTCAATCTCCCCCTCTCTTTCTCCCCCCTCTCTCTCCCCTCCGCACCGCAGCACCCATCGGCGCACTATCCCGATGTTTAGTTGGCTACAGTGCCAGTTTTCTCGAATCGTTTTACATTTTTTGGTTTTTTCCAGCTAGCTGGGTGCTGTTATGGCTGGGAGGGGGGGGGGCGTCTTGTGTTGCGTGAAGTCGCCTGCTCCTGCGACACTGCTTGTGTGTGTGTTTGTGTGTGTGTGTGTGTGTGTGTGAGAGAGAGAGAGAGAGAGATAGAGAGAGAGAGAGAGAGAGAG